TGTATTGCCGTGTCGTGCCAGTCTGTCCATTCACTATTTAAGACTGCAGTTTGCTTCGCGTCTTTTATTACTTCGTGCCATATTGGTGTACCAGCTTTGCTCCGCCCGGTATCGCGCGCATCACATGACCTAAGGTTCCGCGGGCTCTCCAGGTTTTATCACATATAGCCCTGTAAACACTGAGCATTTCTCCTGAATTCTGATAATTTAGCGGTGAATAGGGTTATGCTGTTAGCCTCAAAATTAGAATGAAACATGCTCACTTATAATAATTGGGCTTCTACACTTATCTTTCTTCTACAGTGTTCGAAATGCCTAAGGTTTCGGTCATTGAATGAATTCTGGTCTCCTTGGTATTAGATCAACAACGAAATGCACCATTCGCCAAGAATCTGCTCAAGCTAGGCTGATTATATCGATGGAATGTCCACGTCCCACCCACCCCCCCCCCATAATACGCGAGTAAGAACACTCTAGTTTTAACGTGGACTGCGCAACCGCATTGACGTCTTTTGCCTTCAAAGTTTCCTTATCAGCTTCTATCAATTGCTATTGTCTTTGTCACCCATCACAATGTCCAGGTACACAAAGTGAAAGAGAAAAGAAACAAAGAAAAGTAGCTGGCGAATGCACATGCGCGTGAAGCATCAAACGCATAGATAGATCTCGCTCAAATTCGTCGCACGGTTTCCGACACGCGGCATGCCGCACGTATGTACGACGTCGCGCGGTGATCCTCCATAGACCCGACTCAACTCACACAGCCATAGCCACCCTCCTGAAATGAATTCGACCTTACTGGATGGTTGTTTATCTACTGGTGGGAAAATGTTATCACAATCACGATATCTCTCGCCTCTAGTCGACCATTTTGCGGACGAACAGACGATCGACGGAGTACTTGAACTCAGCCCCTTAAATCTCCTCTGCGCTCTCTCGCGCGTCCCTCTCCTCTCCAAGGCTTAGTCCTAGGGCATTCACCCGTTCTCTAATCGTCTGTGCTCTAGCCATCGCGGCAGGACCATTGAGGAAAAATCAAGTAGTCCGTAAACCTCAATATAGCGATGTGGACGTGGACGTCTGTAATCTAGAACAGTGAAAATGGATGAAAATAGAACCACAGATTTAAAGGACTGGCCAGTATAACGTACCACCTGCGGCCTGGACGCACTGCTGGGGTCTCTCCACCATCAGCATAGCGGGTCGGCCCCATCCCTTCCCAACATTGGGCGCACGCATAGTCGGTCGTCCGACAGCAACGATCGCAACTGTCTGACTGTCTAACTGCATCTAATCGTCGAATACTCAGGCAAGTCCGACGATCGATACGCATCCAATGCTGTGCGACAGTTACGATCGTTGCTGTCGTCCGACCGACTATGCGTGCGCCCATAGCAGCACGAAAAGATGAAAGCTCAGTGTGGTTCTATTCGGGAGAACGTGCTAAAGTGGCTCGCGACACATAATCGGGCAAGGTTTGAGCTACGGTAGCCGCGTCACGCGACACGTGACGCGTCCCCTTACGATCAATATCCCAAACGGTGGACAGCATTTCGGCGATTGCCCTCGTGGATGCAGCTCGCTTTTGTTCTTTAACGACTTACGCTTCTAATTTTGCTCTTATTAACCATCTTTCTAGTTCTTAGCAGTGTAGCAGTCATCTCTGAAAAGTGTATTGAGCGGTTGTGATTGGACCTCTTCTTTGCTAAGTGTATGTTTCAGTTTCTTGTTATAGCAGTCCTTTTCGGCAGGACAGGTTGTTAAAAGTGATAAGGGGCATTGGGGCGTGAAGGGGTTCGAGAGTTGATGACATGGGGAAGGAACATTGAACAAACTGTGACTATTGAGCCATGAAATCAGATTCTTGAGCTTTTAAAGCAGCTTCTAGATTTTGGAAAGCTCATATCTTTCTCATCATTCTTGTTTTGGTACTCATCCAAGTAAGGGGGGGCTGCGCGATTAGAAGCATTTTAAACGGCATGGAAAGCACATCATTTTTTGTGACGTTCAGGACTAAAATTTAGAAGGAAGGAAAAAAAAAAAAAAAAAAAAAAAAAAAAAAAAAAAAATTTTTTTTTTTTTTTTTAAAAAAAAAAAAAAAAAAAAAAAAAAAAAAAAAAAAAAAAAAAAAAAAAAAAAAAAAAAAAAAAAAAAAAAAAAAAAAAAAATTTTTTTTAAAAAAAAAAAAAAAAAAAAAAAAAAAAAAAAAAAAAAAAAAAAAAAAAAAAAAAAAAAAAAAAAAAAAAAAAAAAAAAAAAAAAAAAAAAAAAAAAAAAAAAAAAAAAAAAAAAAAAAAAATTTTTTTTTTTTTTTTTAAAAAAAAAAAAAAAAAAACATGCGTGAGCAAATCTTGGCTTCCTCGTTGGAATTCTCCCCCCCCCCCTCCTGACATGCTAACATGTAGGTGATTTTCACTTCTCGTAGTTAGTACAAGAATACATACATTACACAAAACACCTGAAGAAATAACATAGGAAAAAGCTGATAGCAGCTCGTAACTTTAAAGGACTCCTTGAGCCAAATTGGCATTAGAGCAGACCGTGCACCGCAATGCCCCCTCTTACCGGATGAGACCCTACCTTGTTTTTCTTTCCCCCCCTATCTTCTCACCAACAATTAGCAATAAATAAGTGGTTTTTTCGACGCTCACTATAACAGATTAGTTTTTCCTCCAAAAGACAATGTTGACGTGGCGTTTCGCTTTATGATGCCTTGGTTCTAATCCCATAAACTACCCTAACAAATACGGTTCACGTTTATTTGTTTCTAAATATGAGTCGACAGCGGAAGCCGCACCCTCGCGTTAACGGTTCGGCATCTGTTCTGATGTCGTGGCTGCTTCAATCCAATTTCCCAAAAAAACATTGAACTTTGGATGCAATGGGATGCAATACTCGTTCCAGTTCAGGGACTAAGGGTTGGAACGGCTTCATTTCTTGCAATGTTTCTTTACATTTCTCTAACAGGCCCAAATACAACACCCTTTGACAGCCCATGCAAAATCTCAAACGCTCTACTCCTACTGCATCGTTAAAGTTGCCATTCTCTCAAGCGTTTTATCGAACGGCAATACAAGCATGTCAAAGATCTGCGAATTAATTTCCTCTAACGTACTAAATTGAATCTGAGCACCATTCATAGAGAGGGTAGTCATTGGAATAGCTGTAAGGCACTGCATGTTTCTACGACATCTACATTCGCGACATCAAAGCTTCGCGATACTTTGCGCTTAAGCGGTATTCGTATATGGAGTTTGATGATTCCAATAGGGTCTATACCGCTTGGAGGGACTGTCATGATGCACCTTCTCGGCGAACTAGTGTGACTTGAACACTCGCACGCATGTCAAGTGACTGCCCTCACTTCCCACCCATTAGACTAGCTACACTCCCCTGGCTCGGAGTTACCTTAACCTTCTGGAAAAACTGCATCATGATGCCCCTAACTAGAATAGACCCTTCCAATAATTAATTCATGGCGTAACTAATCATTTGAATAAGCTGCTGGAACGTTAGGTTGCTCTTTGCTCACAGCGACGGTATTGTGGTAGAAAGCTGCGCCAGTATGTTGCTTTTCGGCTGCTGCGTTTACAGACAGTAGTGATCAAATTGGTGAACGCCTTTTTTGGTTTACCCTTCCCCCCCCCCCCCCTCGCATCAAATTTTATCATGTTTTGAAGACAAGCCTTCTCCAAAGTAGCAGATTTTTGTTGGAAGGAAGAAAAAAGGAAAAAAAAACAATCAAATTACCCTAAAAAATCCCATAAGAGCGGTTTAATTTACCGGTGAAAAATGAATTGGAATGAAATTGAAATTGAATGCAGTCACCCCTCTAACTTGATGGATGGATAAATAAAAATCGGAGAAGAAGTTTAGAAGAAGCTCCGTCCCTCAACTCTAAACCCCGCCCACTTAATAAACAATTCATATAGAAAAATAGCGATTTTAACGGAATTTCTGCCGGAATCTCTCTAGAAATGCCGGAATTTGATCTCTGGATAGAACTTGAAGAGCCCATTCGATCAGTAAAATTCCATAGATAAGAGCGGTTTAATTTACCGGTAAAAAATGATTTTGAAAAAATATTTTTATTTTTATTTTATTTTTGAAAAAATATCTATGGACCGCTCTTATCTATGGGATTTTAGGGTAGTTTCTATTAGTAGGATTTCGATAACTTACGTTTGAATCCTAAATCTCTTCCACAGTAATAGGCAATATTTGCGAACTTGCTGCTTGTTAATTTTCGGTAAAATAATTTTATGATCCTTCACTTTCCCTCCCTTTCAGCAATAATATATTGGTTTGGTGAAAGGGGCTTGTCGTCGAAAAATATTAATATTCTCTAATTTGATGAAGCATATAAAAAGCTAGCGCCGAAAAAGGTTTCACCGGAACTTTTAACGCTACCGTGTTCGTATGTAAAAGCCCATATTTTTTATGTGCACTAAAAGTGCTGGGGGTCCATCCAGTAAAGGGAAGGCGCTTTCATAGTCGTCCGATCGTAATGATCGCACAGCCTTAGATAAGTATCGATAGTCCTTTGTTTGATCGGATATGAAAATCGATACGTACCTAATACTATGCGATCATTACGATCGGTCTGCAGAGTATGAAAGTTTCTCTATGGGGGAGATGTGGTGCACCAGTCGCCGCCAACAGAATTCCCATTTTTTGCAATGGTAGGGGAGCCCCAAGGTGCCTGAATTATTTCGCTTTCGGCACTTACCCAGGAGCTTCCTTCTGCAAAAAAAATGCTTACATCACTTTAGGTGATACTAACTGTTCCCCCTCTCCCCTCTTCGCTGAATTGGACGCATTCCTGGTATTTGAGCTATAAGCAGACGAGTTGGAAGGCTTGTAGTTTTCGGTTTCTGTTTATCACGTGAATGCAGCACTTACGGACATCCAACTGTTCGTTTTGACCATCGCAATCTTCTAATTTCAGTGTTCATTCAGCAGTGTCAGAATTTCTCCATATGTGATTTCTAGGGTTCTTCAATGTCCTCGATACATTATAAGTTTCGAGCGACATTGGAATACAAAACACTCCAGTTCGATGGGTTACACATCACTGGAGCAGACTTGAAGAAGGAGATATGTTTGAAGGAAGGAATCAAGGCAGAGGCTTTCGATTTACTTTTACAGGTGAGAATTAACTTTTACAGAAGTATCACGAAACACACGAAATTACCGCATCTTATTTTGATACGATTTCTTCCAATGAAAGAGGAGAATTATTGAACTGTTTCTATTTAAGAATGCACACACCAAGCGAAGTTACACGGCAGAAGAGCTCATTCCTCGAAACTCGTCGATCATTGTGCAGCGAGTCCCAAGAGAAGATGCTGAAAAGCTTCCGAAAATCCAGTAATTTATTTGCTACTTTGAATTTAGTACAGTTAGTAGGCTTTAGTTGGGATAAGGGTGGCATAATTTGTTATACTACTCTGTAGTGCTCTCTGTTTAGTAGTCAAGCGTTTTAGGTAGCATTCGAATTTGTGCTGAACTCAACAATTCGCAAAAGCGTGAAACGTACGCGCTTCGACATTGGCTACGTGATCAATGCTGCGTTGTGCTACATTACTGTTATCGGTTTTGAATCACAGTAGCGGTCAAAAGTTGGCAACTTGTTTTGATCTAGTGCTGGGGCCGTAAGTTATGCTTCCCCGAAGGGCTAGCGGACGAAAGTTTCTTTAAATTTTCTCTGTAGTCCCAACTGGGATTGTCCTGATAAAGGGCCTACATCTAATATATGTGTGTAGCTTAAAGTAAGCATGCATTGAAAATAAAGAAACAGTATCGTTCAAAACAAAAAATTTAAAGGGACTTTCGTCCCCGCAACCATTTCGGGAATACATTACCTGGCTCTCTGCCATAGAAACAACTAACCGGAAGGCAGTCTTCTCTGGAACTTTGAGATGAGTACCGATATATTCTATGTGTGCGTGTGCGAGAGCGTGATTACAGATATAGAAGAGTGAGCTGGCGAGATAGTGGCAAGAGAGGTTGTTGAGGCTGTCAGTGCTGAAGGTTATAGAGGTATCATACTAGCTCTCGGGCTTTCACGTCACCGCGAGCGTGGGGTGCCATCGCTATTCACCTGGATGGTCATAGGTGTTCCTTCGTTGGAGCGCAAATTTCGAGGCATACTCTACTCACGTCGACTTTTGATGAGCCAATTCTGTTCTAAGTGCGGTAACTCTAAGCAGACTTGGTATGGCTCAAACGTTCTTGGCAGGTTTCATTTGGCGGTGTTTATTTTTCCATGTTTGTTTGATTCAGGCGGTTGTGTGTGAAGGTCCTATTATCGATTGATCTGGGGTCTTCTCTAAATTATCCATGTGAGGTTGGATGCCTGTTTCCTGGTAAGTTGCTCAGGGTTCGTAACATTTTACACATATATAAATTTAGAATAAGTTGCGAAGTTCATTTGAAAATTGTGGGATGTGCGTCATTGATAAAAAAGATTTTCAATAAAATGACGTTTCAAAAGTTTGCGTAAATTCAATTTTCAAAACTCAATTGTCAGCGACACTTCTTCAATCTAATGGAGAATTGGTATATCGTTTAGATAGTGAATTTTGTTAATTCTTGCGAATTGCTCAACGTTTTTGATCGTGATGTAATTGTTTAGACGTCATTTTTAGTGGTCTGAGAAGAAATTTTAGATTGACAATGAATTTCTGCGTGTTTCTGTTGTTCTTTCACGGAAGGGCCTTCGCCTTGGTGTGTAGTTTTATTGAGCCATACTTCGTGCGCGTATCAGTCGGATATCTTGATGAAGTTGGGTAGGGGGGTATTGTGATGCGTAAGTGCAGACCTTAACAAATTGCATAGTCTGCCGACTTCGAACAAGTGTCTGTAATTTTTCATATTTCCACGATATGGGCGCCGGTCCTGGTGGTGTGTTCCCCTATTCTGTACTGATATTCTGCTCCAGGTCCAATTCAGAAGACGCAGGTTAGTTTAGAAGAAAATAATGCTCTTATCCATTTGAAATGCACGATTTTTTGCATGTTTTGCATGAAGCGAATATTATTGCTAGACATCTCCTTTGTTTTTCGTTTTGATTTTTTTTACTTTCGACTTGTTCTTCATCACAGCATCTTTTAAATGTTCCCTTTGTTGTGCGGAACATTATTTGCTGCTGTTTTGAAGCAACCCGTCGCTTTTGTGCATGTCGTTTTCCAGGTCACGCTGCAGTCGCCGTCCTTCTGCTAGTTGCGTAAGATTTCTTTTTTATTTTTCAATTTACCTTTTTCTGTCGGGCTTGTTCTTCATCACAGCATCTTTTAAATGTTCCCTTTGTTGTGCGGAACATTATTTGCTGCTGTTTTGAAGCAACTTAGTTAGAGGACGGCGACTGCAGCGTGGACTGGAAAACGACATGCACAAAAGCGACGGGTTGCTTCAAAACAGCAGCAAATAATGTTCCGCACAACAAAGGGAACATTTAAAAGATGCTGTGATGAAGAACAAGTCGAACTGAAAAAATCAAAACGAAAAACAAAGGAGATGTCTAGCAATAATATTCGCTTCATGCAAAACATGCAAAAAATCGTGCATTTCAAATGGATAAGAGCATTATTTTCTTCTAAACTAACCTGCGTCTTCTGAATTGGACCTGAGCGAGCAGAATATCAGTACAGAATAGCAGAATACAACAGGAAACGCGAATATCGCGGGGAAATCATGAAAACACAGACACCTGTTCGAAGCGCCAACTATCAAGGTTGTAGTCTGGCATATACTGTCCTATTAGCAGCTACCCCAATACGGATATCGACTGTACTGTTTCTATGTACTTCAGTGGTGCTTACGGTTGTAGGCCTGCGTTGACTGCTGCGCCGTTCAAATCTAGTTCCAGAAAATTATTGTGAGCTGGTCACAATATCATACTTACAGGGGTGTCAATACTGGAATCGTGGCAAGGCCTTCAACTGCAGAAACGGATTGGGTAGCCCCTGCGCATATGAATCCGGTACGTTTTCTATTCAAATTGATCCAAGTTTCTGCTGAGATGATCGCTTTGAGACAGCTCAATTTTTCTTTTAAGGAGGAATTTGAAAAGTTATCGGAGGAAGATCAGATCGCTCATATCAAGGACGTATCTACAGCGAAGTACCACTCTAGCAAGTATGTTGTTATCTGTTGTAATTCAAGAATCGTTTAGGGAAGGGCATCGAAAATCTACCAATAGGAAATTATGAGATCAGTAGTGTCTTACCGCTCATCTAGCATGCCATTGCTGGCGAATTGAATCGATCGTTGTTTTGGTTAGATCCCGCCTTATGACTTAGAAAACACTGTCTAAAAATAGCCATTCAGGGTACATATGTAACCGGCATTAAAAAGTAGTAATTTCAGTTTTCAAAAGAAAACGACGAACATCATGTCTGGACCGCCTCCTCCAACCTACACTTGCAATCGCTGCTATCAACCTGGCCACTGGTACAAGAACTGCCCAATGGTAATCATGAACGATGCGCGGATGCGCCATTTGGTCGCCGTAAGCCGGTAGCGGCTAGGGTTTGCCAGTTGCTCCTCTTTAGGAGCACCATTTATAAACTTAGACATCTTATACGGTTTCCTAATACTTACACTTCGGGTATGTTCAAGCCTCGTTGAACACATCGTCGGTTTATGTTGATTTTCTTGTTGCCAACTATCTTTCTTGTATTTTTGTATCTGTAATGATTGATTTGTTGTTGAAATGTTTAGCTGCGGTGATTGTACACAAGTTCCAAGTTGAAGCGGCCTTAAGTTGAGGCCAAGTGACCTGTTAATCTAAGCCTCCACATACAAAGCGTTGTTTTATTTGTTCGGGTTTTTGCGATAAACTAAGAGCTACATCCCCTTTGTGTTAGATCATCGGATGATTGCTGAAGAAGAGCGACAAAACTCGAGAAAGTAGATCACGTCCTAGGAGACGTTCAGATTAGTCCACAGCCTGTCACACTGGCAACGACAGCATTGAGAAAATAAGACTTAGTAGCGCGTCTGCTGGGTGGCATCGTTCATTTGAAGGTCTAAAAGCCTCATCAGTATATGGGGCGTTTCGGTTCGACTGCTGTGTTTTCAGTTGGCTACGAAACGAACCACTGGAATCCCTTCGCAAGAGCTTATGGAGACCACTGCCGAAGATCCACTGGCCATGCTACATCCATCAGGAAAGCTAGTTGTGCCAATCATGCATTGGAAGGCGCGGCAACACACCAAGAAGGCGCGTTATCAAGCTTCCCTATGCTGGCTGAATCTTTTATAAAACCATTACTTTAGGTCGCAGATGAAGGACCTGCTGTGGAACGTGTGCCACCTCCAGAACTTACGTGCCCGCTGTGCTCACACCTGTTAAAGGTGTTTTCGACTTTTTTTTAAATCTGCCTCAGTACGGAGTGGTCATGCTACTGTTACAGGACGCTGTACTCACCACATGCTGTGGTCATTCTTTCTGCGCTGACTGCATCTCCAATAAGCTCATGGAGTCGCCAGAACGTCAATGTCCAGGCAGAAATTGTGATCAGAAGCAGGTGCGGCGGATTTTCTCAAAACATATTTTGTCTTATTTTATTTCAAAATCATCGAAATACCGAGCTACTGCTGTCCTAGCCTGTAAACTTCGTTCCTAGTGCTCTTTTTAGTACGTAATACAATAGATCCCATTTTGAAGAATGTATGAGTTGAGCTGGGCACATGAGTTACGCTCAATATAGGCCTTGCCTTTTTTATAGCTGTCGAATGGAAGCCTCTGTCGAGCAATCTATGTGTTTGTAGGTTTTGCTATGTCACGTCATCCATAGCGCTTTCGCTTCCAATGGGTTATCATGGTAGTGCTGACCAAACCTTTTATGTAACCGCGCAAATTCAAAATTTTCTACTGTTGCCAATCGCTTTCGTTTGCTTAGAAAATAAGACGGGAAAATGTTTGACAATTTTTTATCTAGTTATCCACCTAGCATTTGAATTAGAACGTTTGCGATTTTGATCATATACGGCACTTCAATGCGCTCATCAAACTGCACCACTTTGTTTCCCCACCGGCACTCGGCCGATTCTGCCGCCGCTGCGCTCGAATTATTAAACGCTATGAGCTACTGCACCACCTTTTGATTCGCCACCTCTAATCAATAATGGCATGCATAAAGGATGTGCACGAGCATACTTTGTTATTTTCTTTTAAGTGGTTCAGAATAACTAGTGACTAAAACAGTATAATGTCAGAAATCTGCCACAAAGTTCTTTGCACTGTAGTGAGATATAATCCGAATCCCACCACTTCGCGATTCTAGGTTGCTGTGGCGCCTTCTGGCCACTACTGTAACCAGGGCCAGCTGTCCGTTAGCACTATTCGAAGATATTCAAGGGAAAATGTGACGGCTGCCATTATTTGGCGAGCCGAAGGTGTCGTGTTTTGTGGAATCTAGGAAAAAGTCATGAGATATAAGAATTAGTGTTTGCCGTTTTATACCATGTTTACACCTCCTCCTTTTTTTCGACGGGTTTTGCGGAGGAAAAGTGGGCGGAAGTCGGACTTGTCGGCTGATCTCAGAATCAAATAAGCCATGATAGTTAGGGGACTAATCTGATTGCCAGAATCTCATACTACAGAGACAGCCATGATGACGATTTTGTCGGGATGAAAGGGCCGCATTGGGGGACCGCTCTAAGGCTAATTTTTGGAGCCCTCTGAAGGGGGATCGTAAAATTCTTTGGAAAAGTGCTAACACGACAGTTCACTCCGTCTCTAACGTGAGCGAACGATTTTTTTTTTGCGAAAATATGTGGTACTACTTAGAGATTCAGTGACAACAAGAAAAGTGTATCCTCTGTAGGCGGAGGAAGTGATGCTATTCCGATGCCTCGCATTCATCGAGTGCGCGTCGATTTGGCCTCCTAGTTTGGGACGACGTTTAGTGTCTGAAATTGACTGGAAGAACATCATTTCGATGCAGCCTAATCCTACTAGACTGCTTGAAAGGGCTTAAGATGGGATGACGTCAAGTTGTAAACTGTGTCAACGGTGTTAAAACCTAATTTTGTTTCACGAAAGCTGCCATTTATCAATATCTACAGCAGTTCTAATGATGTAGTGGTGCTCGTGTATCTAAATTCAAGCCTCTCAATATTGGTACCCTCCTCCTGATACTCCAGTGCAATGTAGTGCCTCCGAATGAGCATTGCTGTAAAATTTGCTAGCCACTATAACGTTTTAAGCGACTAATTATGAGGGGCGCATACTTTTTTCTGAAAACTTACTTTTGAAGTTATCCGTCGATGCATTGGTGCCGAACAAGACAGTGCGCCAAGCTGCACAAGCATGGGCTATGGGTGGACCGGGCTCTGGAAATCAAGACCAAGAACACATGAGGTTCAGGTAGGCATTCCTTGTGTAATCGTTCTGTATGCGTTCTATTACGTTGTTTCTCCCAGGATTGGTCTCCAACCTGCCGTCACAGTGCCCGCTGCATCCACTCCCCCGCCACCGTTGGTAACCGGAGTACCACAATCATCGGCACCCGCAACACTGACAACGACTACTCAACCTTCGGATTCCATAACGGGCCAGAACTCACCAAATCCATTCGTGACTGCACCACCTGTTCCTATTCCAGTGAGTTTACCATCGCGCCTGTAAAATTACAGAGCGGCTGCTAGATGCTATTAATTTGCTGGACTAGCATTTTTCGTGGAACCCGCAGCATCTTTGTGTGATACTAGAAGAACTTTCATTGCTTAACATCCTAAAAATTCTATGGCCAGGTTCCGGCATCTTTCTCACAACCTCCGCCTAATATGGTACCTGGAGCGGTTGCAAGCTCATCATCCTCTGGAGACTCGTTGCTGCCACCTGGGACAACTGCAGTTCCCCCGCCTACGATGAATTTACCTCTTCCACATGGTAAGCCCAGAACTAAAATTCGTGACGATCAACACTGAAGCAGTTTTTGTTTAGCT